AAAAGTTTTTAAACTCAGCCCTCTAGCTCGCAACCACAGCCTCAAGCAGCTCCTGAACCCAAAAGTCGTTAGCAACTCGGGCCTGAACCGCAACTGTGTATGCAAATGAACACGGATTTTTTGAAAAACCCAGGCTGGAACGCACCAGGCGAGCCGGTGCGATCATGCGCTTTTGCATCAAACTTTGAGGTACTCCATCAAATTTCCCTGTCTTTTTGAAATGCAAATTTCTAGGTCACTAGAAAGTAAAAGTATTGCCCGAGCGGTCGTCTCCAAAAAAACCGCGTTCATTTACATATACGATTGCGGTTAAGGTCCGAGCTGCCAAAAAAACTGCGTTCATTTACATATACGATTGCGGTTAAGGTCCGAGCTGAGAACGAATTTTTGAACATATGCAAATTTTTAGTTCATTGAAAAATTGAAAGTATTGCCCGAACGGTCGTTTTTCAAAAAATCTGCAAATTTTTAGTTCATTGAAAAATTGAAAGTATTGCCCGAACGGTCGTTTTTCAAAAAATCCACCGTTCTCATTTGCATAAACAATTGGCGGTTCAGGTCCGAGTTGCTAACGATTTTTGGGTTCAGGAGCTGCTTGAGGCTGTGGTATGCGATTGCGGTTCAATCGAGTTGCTAACGATTTTTGGGTTCAGGAGCTCTTGCGACTGTGGTTGGACGGTTCAGGTCCGAGTTGCTAACGATTTTTGGGTTCAGGAGCTCTTGAGGCTGTGGTTGGGGAGCTAGAACTGAGTTTAAAATCTTTATCTCGTACGTGCATAGAGAATATCCCTGCAAAGTTGTTTGGAGCTAGAGGGCTGAGTTTAAAACCTTTATCTCGTACGTGCATAGAGAATATCCCTGCAAAGTTTTGCTACGTTGTCTGGTTCGCGAAATCGTTTCCCGCCAACAAATTCCTTTGAGGGTCTCGTGCGCGGCTTACGTTGCCTGGTTCGCGAAATCGTTTCCCGCCAACATATCTTTTCGGGGGTCCCGTACGTGGTGTCTAGGCGCGACGTTGCTTGGTTCGAGAAACAGTTTTCCGCCTACAAATTCCTTTGGGGGTCTCGTGCGCGGGGTTTAGGCGCGTATGGGGAAGATTTGAAACGGGAGGATGACACACAGGGTAGGAACATATATCTGAAGTTTCAGCCCCCAGCTTTCCTGGTTAAAGGGAGGATGACACACGGGGTAGGAACATATATCCGAAGTTTCAGCCCCCCCCCCCAGCTTTCCTGGTTGTCGAGTTGAAAGCCAAGAAATTCCTTTGGGGGTCTCGTGCGCGGGGTTTAGGCGCGTATGGGGGAGGATCTTAAAACGGGAGGAAGACGGGGTAGGAACATATTCCGAAGTTTCAGCCCCCCAGCTTTCCTGGTTGCCGAGTTGAAAGTGGGTGACAAAATGCACTCG